TCATCATTGCCCACTGCAACCTTAAACACCTGGGCTCAAGTGATCCTCCTGCTTCAGCCTCCCAAGTAGCTGGGACTATAGGTGGGTGATACTACATCCAGCTAGTTTTTCTATTTTTGGTAGAGATGAAGTCTTGTTTTGCTCAGGCTAGTCTCCAACTCCTGACCTCCACCAGTCCTCCTATCTTGGCCTCCCAGAGTGCTAGGATTACAGGTATGAGCCACTGTGCCTGGCCCACATTTCCTTTTTATTATGAAATATTTTAACATACAGAAAAGTATAGGACAAATTAGAATGAAAAATATAACCTAATGTTCAGCTTTATCAGTTTTTTGTTTTTTGTTTTTTGTTTTTTTTTTTTAAGACAGAGTCTCTCACCCTGTTGCCCTGGGTAGAGTGCTACAGCATCATAGCTCACAGCCACCTCAAACTCTTAGGCTCAAGTAATCCTCTTTTCTCAGCCTCTCGAGTAGTTGGGATTACAGGAATGGCCATAGCTCCCAGCTATTTTTAGAGAGTGGGCCTGGCTTTTGCTCACTCTTGCTCAGCCTGTTCTTGAACTCCCGAGAGCAATCCGCTTGCCTTCATCTCCCACAGTACTAGGATTACAGGCATGTCATCTAGTTTTTAGTTCTGTAAGTTGCATAACAAGCTGCTGAGTTTTATGGAATCTGGTATCTTAAATTTGTAGCTAGCATAATGTTTGTGTTAATACGCTGCAGTTTACAGTTTGTTACCAAAACCTATTAGCTTTTTGGACTTTTTATCTGTAGTTTCAAGAAGAGACAGAAAACAGTGCCTGATTTGCATATAAATATTTAACTGTACAGCTTGTGGAAATTTAGTAATGAGCTCCCCTCAGAATTAAATAACTACAAACAGCTGCGTAGCCCCAGAAGGCCTTGGACTAGGCAGTTTTACTAAATTTGATTTAATAGTAATCTATCCATGATTTACAGATTTTGTACAAACTAATGCTGTATTTTATGAATCTTTGTAATTAGGAAACTGTTACTAATCAGCATGTACATACAATCAGTAGGTAAAATTCAGTAGATGAAGGTAGTTCCTGAATAAATATGTTACCTAAATTAGGGACTAGTTGCAGAAGAAAGCTGTCTGTGTTAAGCGAGGGGTGGGGGAGATGTTGCACATTATGTATAGTATAATGCAGTTTTTGTGAAACAGTGCTCCTTCTTATTTTTTTAGTTGTCTGTGAGGTAAAGTATAAAATGATGTTCTAAATTGAAAATTTTGGTAGGGGTGGGCTGGGGTTGGAAATGAAGGAATGAAAGACAGGTAAAGTAGTTTCCGGGGGGCATTTGTTAATGAGGTCCACTCCTGGCCTTCTGACATGGAGGTTCTGTCTGAGTATTTGAAGCTTAAATGCTAACAGGTCCACTAGGTGATGTCTAATGTGGGTGGTCATCAGACTACACTGAGAGTATAGAGCAGAGATTGTGGATTATTTGGCTGGCTTGATTGACTCATTTGTTCCATGTCTGAATCCTGATGGGCAGTAGCTTTTGTGGTTCATTAATTTTAAAAAAAAGTTAAAAATAAGAACATGTACCTGTTTGCACCTGAGTTTTTTAAGACTCAGTCGTTTTCGAAAGGAAAAATGAAGTATAAGTCTCCACTCATCCTTTAGCCAGTTTTTCTAGCTACTAAGAGTTTTTTCTGTATTCTTTCAAGAATGAGAGAGTGCTTGAAGAGGAGTGGGAGAGGAATGTAGATTAAAAAAAAATTTTTTTTCCTCAGCCCCTGTGGGTGATTTAATGTTTTAAAAAATTTTTTTGTTGTTGGGGATTCATTGATAAAACTTTTTTAAATATAAAATTAACACATTGACATACTAGGAAAAAAAATTTGCCTTGGGTCCATGGTATTTTATCAGGTCAAGATAGGTGAAGAAATGTGCATCAATATATGCTACACGAGGCCCCTGGCTCAAAACTAGAGTAAGTTAAATACAGCTCACCTGGCAGTTAATGTGTTAAAACTGAAGTAACTGTAGAGGTAATAGTTTTTTAAAAAAGCACAAATGAGATATTTTGGCTGCCTAGCTACCATAATGGTTTTGAGGGAAGAGATGCAGTTAACAGTATCTGTAGAGAGGGTGCTGCTGTGACACACCATAAGAATTAGCAGGCTGGGCGCCCCAGTGGCTCACACCTGTGATTCTAACACTCTGGGAGGCCAAGGCAGAAGGATTGCTTGATCCTTAGGAGTTGGAGACCAGCCTGAGCACGAGTGAGACCTTATCCCTGCAAAGAATAGAAAAAAATTAAAAAGAAAAGAAATTAAAGAGAAAGAAAAAAATTAGCTGGGCATGGTATAGTGTTCTGGTAGTCCCAGTTTCACAAGAGGTTAAGATAGGAGCATCTCTTCAGCCCACAGCACTGTAGCTCAGGCAACAGAGCAAGACTGTGCCTCAAAACAAAACAAACAGTCAAACCAAAAAATAACAACTGAGGTGCTAGGTTAGGCGTTAAACCCATTTCATCATTTTCAGTTCCTTCAAACTGCTCCTGCTCCTTTCTTTTCTTACAGGAAAAAACGGTCCAGCTGTGCCTTGGACTGTACTTTATTTTATTTAATTTTTTTTTTGGAGACAGAGTTTCATATTGTCTCTACCTCAGGTAGAGTGCTCTGGTGTCATAGCTCACAGCAACCTCTACTCTTGCTTCAACCTCCTGAGTAGGAGGGACTACAGGCGCCCATCACAATGCCTGGCTGTTTTTAGAGACAGAGGTCTCACTCTTGTTCAGGCTGGTCTTGAACTTGTGAGCTCAGGCAGTCCACCCGCCTCGGCTTCCCAGGTGCTAGGATTACAGGAATGAGCCGCTGCGCCTGGCCTTGTGGTTTGGACTAAATGATATTATGTGTTTTGCTTGAAACTACGTCCATCTTGAGGAGTTTCAGAGGGTTTTCTCCCTTAGGTGGGTAGTGGGATAGGGGTTGAGCAGTTGAAATTGAATTTACTATTTGAATCTTTATCTTTTGATCCATGCAGCTATTAAACAAGTGCCTAATGTCAAAGGGCTTAATTCATTTAGACAAAGACAGTGGACTCCAAGAATTAAAACAGTATTTCTTAGGCCATAGAAGTTACATGGTGTCAGGAAAGACTAAGAACATTGGAAGACTGGTCTATGTTTTTTATTTTATTTTATTTTATTTTTGGAACAGAATCTCAAGCTGTCAGCCTCTTGGGCTTAGGCAATTCTCTTGCCTCAGCCTCCCAAGTAGCCGGGACTACAGGCACCCGCCACAACGCCTAGCTATTGCAGTTTGGCCGAGGCTGGGTTTGAACCTGACACCCTCTGTATATGGGGCCAGTGCCCTCCTTTGAGCCACAGGCACTGCCCTTGCCCAGCTATTTTTTTTTTTTTTTTTTTGAGTCAGAGCCTCAAGCTGTCCCCCTGGGTAGAGTGACGTGGCATCACAGCTCACAGCAACCTCCAACTCCTGGGCTCAAGCGAGTCTCTTGCCTCCGCCTCCCAAGTAGCTGGGACCACAGGTGCCCACCACAACGCCCAGCTATTTTTTGGTTGCAGCCGTCATTGTTGTTTGGCGGGTCCGGGCTGGGGATTTGAACCCGCCACCTTAGGTGTACGTGGCTGGCGCCTTAGCCGGTTGAGCTATAGGCGCCGAGCCTGCCCAGCTATTTTTAAGTTGTAGTTGTCACTGTTGTTTGGTGGGCCTGGGCTGGATTCGAACCCCCCAGTTCTGTTGTATGTGGCTGGTGCCTTAGCTGCTTAAGCTACAGGCACCAAGCTAGACTGGTCTATGTTTAAGGAAGACCAAAGATAGTGACAACTAAATGCAGTGCCTGATTTTTGATTGAATCATAAATCGAAAAAGAGAATATCGTGGGTGGCACCTGTGGCTCAAAGGAGTAGGATGTCGGCGGAGGTGGCGGGTTCAAACCCGGCCCCGGCCCAAAACTGCAAAAAAAAAAAGAGAATATCTATAAAGGACAACTGGGGAGATTGGAAGCTGGATTTATATATTGTTAGATGATATTGTATTACATTTTAAATGCTTGAGCATGCTAATGCTATTGTAGTTACTTACCCCTTATATTGTGTAGTTATTTTAAACTTTATATATTTTTAAGAATTTTTATCACAATTCAGTTTATTTTCCCATAAATTATTTGTATTTAAGAGAGTGTTTAGATAATATCTAGTAGAGAAATGCGTTGTGTTGAGAGATGTTTAAAAAATGAAATTAAGGTCTGTATTATCTTTTTTTATAGATATTGAAGCACAGATTCGAGAAATTCAAGGCAAGAAGGCAGCTCTTGATGAAGCTCAAGGAGTGGGCCTTGATTCTACAGGTTATTATGACCAGGAAATTTATGGTGGAAGTGACAGCAGATTTGCTGGATACGTGACATCAATTGCAGCAACTGAACTTGAAGATGTAAGTTACAAATTTTGTATAAGAGGCAAGCATTTTTTGTTTTGTTTCTGGATAAGTAATTGCAGGGGGGAGAGGAGAGAGCAAGAATATAGAGGACTCTTATTTGAGATACCTACTTTAATCTGGAGAGAGATTTTTGGGATCTTTTAGATGATAAAACTATCTTGAAGGTGTCTTTCCTCTCCAAGGATTGGAATTCTCACTGGAAGCATTGAGTTCTGAATCTTTATGTTAAAGATACTAAAGACTAATTTGTTGATCCAGCAGAGAGCCTGCAAATCATTAACTGCTGTAAAGCAAACAGTTGTGAAGTTGGCCATTTGTCTTTGTGACTTGATATCTGACTTGGTACTGGTCGGTTTTTTCCTCTTGGTGGCATAATATGAATGGAATTTTTCTTGTTTCTGATAGATATTTATGAGCTTTTATGTTTGTTTTAGTTACTGTGGAAGATGACTGATGTTTCATGGTGTTTTTTATTTTATTACATGCTTATGTTTTATGAGACCAACCCAGACATCCAGATTTGGTGAAATGTTTATCTGTTTTTGTGTGACTCGGTTATATACAAATTTTCTTTTATGTCTATAGATTATCAGATAGGATTTTTTTTTTTTTT